GGATTTATGAACATTTTGCACTGCGTGACGTCCTGTGCCGTTCTCCAGATCCCCGTGGCGGACTGGCCAACTAATGCAAGGCGTTTGCGGCCGGTGAACTGCCGTTCCTCGACGCCAGCAGGCAACATACTCGGGTAAAGTCCAGCATAGACGAATCGTGTATTTCTTCCTTCCGTGTGGAAATTCCACAATGTGCCAATGGCTGCCAAAAATGTTTCGCTGTTGACAACTTCTCGGACGCCAGCGCGGAAGTAAAACGCCACGTACAACGAAATGTTTGTCTATTTGATGCCTACTTACCGGGCGCCCAAGGACCGCGACATGGATCACAAAAATAGTTTATCTTGGCGAGAGACAACCAGAATAAACATCTTACATTAACAGGCAACTTCTATCCTAGTCCACCTATTAACACGAACTCCTTTTTTGTAACGTTTTCTGCGGAAAGCACGCGCCACCGGTAGCGGAAAGCAAGTGTTAGTTCTTGATTTCCGCTGGTGGCGGCGCTGCGGTCGACATGACATCGCGGCCGGGATCCGACGCCGCGGCGGAGCGCGCCGTCATCGAATGGAAAAGGAAGAAACCGTTTTGGGAGGCTGGGTCCAAAATGGCTTCTAAGGAGGAGGGGCTTCCAACCGATGACGGGCGGTCGGGCACAGCGCCGACTCCCGGGGGACCACACTCCAAGCTCTGCGCCGCATCAAGCCTTTCGCGTTTTTTGGTTTTCTCCAGTTGCGACATCGACAGGGCAGGTCTGGCCTTCGATTGATTTGCTCCAGGTGCGGCCTTCTGAGCTGGGACCAGGGATCGGGTTGGGCGGGTCGGCCTGCGGAGGGCAACAGCTGGCGGGTGTGCGGGTCGAACTATGCGGGGGTGGGGGGCACTGACACCCGTGCGAGTCAGTTGTGCACTCGTCTTCCCGCTTGGGGGGTTTCTGTAACCCCGACGCAAGCAAGCTCCGCAGTACGGTTTTGCACTCTGTCCGCTTCTTTGGCCAGTCATGGAGCATTTGGTGACGCCTTGCCCATCGCACGGCGGTTGAGAAGCGCCGGGTTACCAGCCGCTGGCTGGCTGTCCCGGCTACCCCGGCGAGACGGGTCCCCTCCACGGCCGAGCCACTCCGGGCCGGCCCTGCGCGATCGCCCGGCCCCGCCCGCGCTTCTCACACTCCCTGAACAGCCAACACTGAACACCAATAGACGCAAACACCAACGACACACAAACAGCGACGTCTGACGTAATACTGGGAGGGCGGCGGCGGATGCGGCGCCGCGCCGCTCACTGCGGCAGCGCCTTCAGAATGGCGTGCACCTCCTCGGCCACCGCCATCAGCACGAACTCGAACTGGCCGCGCGTGCGCACCATGTCGGCGCGCTGGTCGCGGATGTGCTCCAGCGAGGCGGCGATGTCGATCTCCTTGGCGCCCTTCGACATGCGGTTGAGCACCATGTCGATGAGGCAGTAGGTGCCGGTGCGGCCGCAGCCGTCGCTGCAGTGCACGATCACCGGGCAGGAGCGGCCGCGGTACGACTTGTTCACCTTCCTGCCGACAGACGGCGCCACCGGGCGCGGGCGACCGAGCGTCAGCAGGCGCCGAGCGGACATCGGACGCAGGTTGTTCAGTGAAGCGATCTT